TTATCTTTCTTTCTTTCCCTTTCTTTCTCTCTCTCTGTCTTTTTTTTTTTTTTTTTGGTGGGGTTGGGGTTTATTGTTTTTATATATCTCATATGATCTCTAACTGGGTAGTCAAGGTAATCCAATAGATATTTAAGGAGTTTTTTTTGTTGGGAATCTAGTTATCATGCGCAGCAAAAAAAAAAAAAATCAATTTCCACCAAAAATTTCTTTGTTTTTAAATAAAAATTGTGATAGAAAATTGTACATTTTGAAAGATTCTACAAACTTTTTGTTTTTCCTTTTGTTTCAACAACTTCAATCTATCACTCACAGCTGTCCAATTGTTCAGCTTCCAACTGTTAATCTCTACAAATTGAAAATCCTAGTGACTATTTATATAAACCTAAATGGGCTTGACCTAACCTGATCCAATATTTAATTAACATATTTAATTAAATCCAATCCGTGAATTAATTAATTCAATTAATTCGGGTCTATAAATATGCAACATAATTAATTAATTTATCCAATACTTATTAAATTAATTAATTGACAATTATAATATTCTAGTTCTCATTTTGTGTACGACCCATCAGGTTCCCGATCACAATACCTAACGATGTAAATTGTTATTTTGAACTCATCAAAATCGATAAATTAAAACATTAATTTAATTTTGACTTCTGAGTACACCTTGGCCAATTTCGCTATCGACTTAATTGAATGAAATACAAATCATAATCTCTTACTATCTATGAGTAACGAATTTTCTATTAATTATTCACAACTTTCATACGATTTTTGACATACTTGAATAATGTTGTATTAGCGGCCCTTGGCAGAGCAACATCCAATACCTTCAAAACATGACTGTCCTTATATAAAGCACTACGACGACCTCAAGTCAGATAACTAATTCTATTACCGAATATTAGAGATTAACCACTGACATTCAGATAATTATCCATGTGAAATCTCTCGACGGGTCTCCAATTGTTTTGTTCTATAACAAAACATCCACTTATTCATTCAAGTATCACCACACTTTAGCTTGTGAGATCAGTTATCTATTTTACAAGTAAGAAGTGTCATACGTGATAGTCTATCCGTAATAACGATATCGGATCTCGTCATTACCTACGACCACGGATGATTTAAGATTCAATCATTTGTAATTAGTATCTCATAATCACAACTCCTTGTGATTAATAAGTTACTGAAATTTGAATCTACGGATTTCATTATTTAATTCAATTGAATATTAATTACTAGTCTTTGACACGTGCGTTGCACAAGTTTTGTATTTATTGTATTTTTATTAGCGTCAAAATTGTATATTTTTTACTTATAAATAACTTCTTATATTTTACAAATATTTTTTGTCTGTATTTTTATTTGTTAATAATTTCTTACATAAAAGTGATTGTTGGAAATAAATAGTGATAGCAAAAAAATCAACAAATAAAAATATTACTAATAAACAAATTCAAAAAAAAAAATTAGTTTCCATGCTTGGAAGTTTCAATTCTCCGTAATACGGAGGCTTGATCTCTCCATAACAAGAGACTTGATCTCTCATAACAAGCCTCCGTATTACGGAGGAAAATCCTCCGTGATACAGAGGTTTTCCTCCGTGATACGGAGGCTTGATCTCATAGAGAGATCAAGTCTCCATAATAAATATAGAGAGATTCCTTTGATATATTTTTTTTTATTAAAATGATATTTTATTTATAGATCATCTATTTAATAAATAAGTTAATATTTAATTTTAAAAATAAAATATATTTAAATATTTACTCCAAATTTTTAAATTAGTATATTGTTAAGTTACAAGTAATTTTTACAATTATAAATTTTTTTAAAACTTTTAAATAACTTAAAGCGAATTTTTTTTTACATATATTTATGGAATTTACACTTTTGCTCTTGAATTAACCCACTCAATAAATTATTATTTAAACGGTTCGTAAATATTTTGATTGATATTGTTTTTTGGTCATTCAAATGGTTACTATATACCTTTTACGTATATATATAAAAATAATATTTTTATTTATTAACAAATGAATATATTTATTTTTCGAGAAATGAGTTTTTATTATCATTTCATTTTTATCATGAAATGATTCTAATCTTAATATATTAGATTGTGCTTCAAAATTACATAATTTATCAAATATAATTTTTATAAAGTAATATATTTTTATGATTTTTTTTTTGTTTTTTGGAAAGTGAAATATAATAGTACTAAAAAATAAAAAAATAATTAAATTTTTATTAATTTTATAATAAAAATTCTGGAGGCCAATAAATAATAATATTATTATATTATTATATATATTAATTTATATATATTAATAATATAATTAATATTATATTATTATAATATTATAAAGAATAATTATATTATTATAATTATTATTATAATAATTATAATATTATAAAATTATTATAATTTTATAATAATAATAATATAATTAAAATTTTAATATTAATTTTTTTTTAATT